CATTATATAATAATATTGATATAAAAAAGAATTCGCATTAAATTTAAATTATTATATATTACATAATATATAATTTAATAAAATAAAAAACAATGATAACATATTTGACATATTGGAAAAATAAGTTTTTACTATAATTATTTAAACATTTTTTTAAATTTAAATATAAAAATACAAAGTTATTTTTTATTATGTTGTTGATGTATAAAAATTATTTTAAAATTAAATTTAAACTGTACAGTAAATTTAAATTTTTATAAAGTTAGTTAAAAAAAATAAAAAAATAAAAATGTAATTATTTAAATAAAATACATTTTATTAACAAAAACACATTTACTTACCTTAACTCAACATTCCATATATTTAAGTTAATTTTAGGTTGTTAAAGATATATTTTATTATTATTTTATTGATTAGATAATTTATATAAAAATACAGTTTTATGTATATATATATATATATATATATATATATATATATAGTAATTTTTAATGATTTTTAATTAAATTCATAATGTTTACTGCATTATAAAACAATTAATTATTTTAAATAAATAAATAGTTACATAATTAATACAGAATAATACTGTTGATTAATAAAAAAAAATTCAAAAAATAAATAAATGACTATAAAAAACATAAACTAAATGAAATTAATATAATAAAATATTTAAATAATTTAATGTATTTAATAACAAAGTTTAATGTAATATACAATTAATTGGTGTTATTGTTGTTGATTATTGGAAAATCAATTTCCCGATTCAAAGTCTTCATTACCGGGTCGTCCCGTTTCGGTAACATCGGTCACAGTATTATCTCCCGAACCGGAGATACCCATCAAGTCTTCAATAGTTGAATCTTCAGTTCCGTAAGGCATTGTGTTTATAAATTTAATATTTAGTTAAAAAAACAAATTAATAATTTGTATTTAAAATTGAAAGAAAAACACAATTTTTATTAATTGATTGTATTTTTTTATGTTTAAATACAGTAATAAATAAAATAAGTAAAAATTAATACTGATTTTTTTGTTATTAATAATATTAATTTCTTTCATGGTTTATATGCTATTTTCTATTAGACGATTCAACCAATCACTGGACACTTAGATTACAACATTTGACTCAACAATTACTTTTAAATTGCCAATTGATTTTGCAACACATGTTTACCTGAAATCTATGGTTCACTGTGATTGGTCAAATTGTTTTTGACTCATTAATTTATCTAGTTTCTAATGTCTAAATAATACATTTTTATTGGTTAATATATAATTAGCGTAGGTAATTTATCATTTAAATACTTATGATGTTTTATCAACAAAGTACAAAGTTTTTTTAATTAATTAATAAAAATAAGATTATTTAATCATAATTTAATTTTATTGTGCAATATATTAGTAACAATATATATTGTATTTTTTAATAATATCTTTGTGCATAATGTTTATATAATTATTATATCATTAATATTAGAAATTAATTATTTATTATCAACTAATTATATTAATATAAAATTCTTGATTAAAACAACTTATATTATTTAATATATGATTTAATAAAAATAAATTAAAAATTTATTAATTATTATTATTATTGTATTATATTATGCTATATTTGTATAATAATTATTTTAAAATCTAAAAAATAGACAAAAAAAAATCAAACATAAAGTATACAAATACATTTATAAAATAAATATTAAATTAAATTGTGTGTATAAAACACAAATTACTAACAAACATACATTTATTCACATTATTATAGATATTTAAGTTAAACTTAAGTTTAAAAAACTGTGTTTTTTTTGTTAAAATTCATTTACTTATAAATGTCTATATAATTTTATATACCGTAATTAACCGTAATGTATAATTACATTATCAAAAATAATTATCAATATAAAAATAATGAATTTATTTAAATCAAATAATTTATTTTTATTTAATTGATTACAATAGAATTGAACAATTAATATAAAAATACAGTTTATTTTGTATATATATGTAAAAAATTAGCGATAAATCAATCAAATCAGCTAAAACAGTTAATAATAATAATATTATTAATTAATGATTTTAATAAATAAATATTTAATTAATACAAAATAATACTGTTAAAATACTATAATAAATTACTATAATAAAAATTAGTCAAATTAAGTTAATATATTAAAATAATTGTCTTAAAATGTAACAAAATTTATATTATATTAATGTAATAAACAATTATAAATTTGTCGATTTTAAGAAAATTAATTTCCCGGTGCAAAGTCTCCATCACCGTATCGTCCCGTTTCTCCACTATCGGTCACAGTATTATCTCCCGAACCCGAGATTCCCGACAAGTCTTCAATAGTTGAATCTTCAGTTCCGTAGGGCATTGTGTTTACGAATATTTTCAGATTTAAAAAACAATATCAAAAATTATATTTAAAATAAAATATAATATTTAATTAATTAATTGTATTTGACTTATAATACAGTAATAAGTGAACATTTAATACTGAATTTTGTTATTGACTATTAAGTCTAATTAAGATTCATATTTATATACCATTTCTATTAGACAATTCAACCAATAGCTCGACACTTAGATTACAACATTTAACTCATCATTTAGTTTTAAATTGCAAATCGATTTTGCAACACATGTTTACCTGAAATCATACTATACTCTGATTGGTCAAATTATTTTAATCAAAATTATCTAGTTTCTAATGCTTAAATAATTTTTTCTTATTGGTTAATATACCTGTATATAAATAGCGTGGGTTAGATATCTAATATTTTTTTATTATTATATAAATACTTATAGATATAAACAAAGTTCAAAGTTTATTATTTCTATTGTTATAATTTATTTACTTAATAATAATGCAATTTATTATTGAAATAATTAATTATGTTAATGAATGATAAATTTATTGTTATTTAAATGTATTTTTCTAACTATTAGAGTATTGTTAGTTACTGTATTACAACAATTACAATTAAAATAATTAATAAATTAAATTAGGCAAAATATAATCAAATCTATTATTTGAAAAATCAATTTTATACTGTTTTATATGTATATATATATATTATATAATGTATATTAGTTTAAATAATAAAATGCAAATAGCAATTTTGTTTAATTAAAATTATTATTAATAAAAATATAATACTTTTGATGTTAAATATGTTGCTATTTTATTTAACTATTTTAAATGTCATATCAAACAAATACAAACAATATCAATATAATTATTCAACATTATTTTATAATAGCAAATAAATTATTGTTAATTTAAATGCAATATCACGAATTCCAATATTACTACAATTTTTATTTTATTTTTACAAACATTATTAATCATACAATAATACAAATAAAAAAAAATATTTAAAATAGTTATTTACATTTTGTTAAAACATTTATAACCTTTAAATATAATTAGTTTCATTTTTATTAATTTTCATAAAATTGCTATTTTCAATTGCTATTGTTGTAATTTTGTTTTTATAATTTTAAGAGTAAATGTATAAGTACTGTATAAGTGATTAATAATTTATTAGACAAAATTAATGGCCACTCGTTGGGGTATATTAAGTGCCGGTTTAATTAGTCATGATTTTGTATCAGCATTGAGGACATTGCCTACAGATGAACATCAGGTAATAAAATATTTTTAAAAATATATATATATATAAATATAATTTATGTTAAAAATAAAATGAAATTTATGCAAAAATTATGCAAAAGTGTACAAAACTAATGTTATAATTATGTTTAACTAACTATAAATATAGTTTTATATAAAAAAAACTATTTTTAAAAATGCATTTTTATTTTATTTATTTTTATAAAATAATTGTCTTCATTAGTTAATAGCGGTGGCCGCGCGTGACCTGCAATCGGCCAAACAGTTTGCACAACTGCACGGCATTCCAAAAGCGTACGGCACTTACGATGAGTTGGCCAATGATCCCGACATCCAAGTCGTCTATATCGGTACAATACATCCACACCACTTGTCTACTGCCAAACTTATGCTGGCCGGTGGTAAACACGTATTGGTCGAAAAACCGATGACATTGAACTCGAAAGGTACTGATGAGCTGATAGCCAGTGCCCGGCGCTCCGGACTATTTCTGATGGAGGCTCTGTGGTCCAGGTTTTTGCCGTCGTATGAGTTTGTCATGAAAACAATTACCGATGGTGTTATCGGGGATGTTCTGTACGTTAATGTTACGTTCGGTATGCCGATGGCCGAAGTCGATCGTATGGCCAAACGTGTGTTAGGCGGCGGAACTATACTTGACGTCGGCATCTATGCCATTAATATTATCGAAATGGTCTACAACGGCGAAACACCGGAAGAGATTCGGGCAGTCGGCCATCTGAATGCCGACGGTGTTGATGAAAGTGTGGTGGCGGCGCTTAAGTACAGTGGCGGCCGTACGGCCAGTATATCGACCAATTCGCGTGTTGAACTGCCGTGTGAGGCAATCATCGTCGGTACTAAAGGTGTGCTACGGGTAAGTGATGTCAAACAAAAATATCTAATAATATATTAATATTTTATTTTTTTCTACAATACTATCTATACATTTCTTATTAACAAAATTTTTAGATACCGATGCCATTTTGGTGCGTCAATAGGGTCTACTTGAATAACGTGGCCTACGAGTTCCCGTTACCCGAATTGCCCGAACCTTGCAATTTCTATTACAGTGCCGGACTCCGGTATGAGGCCATTGAAGTGCGAAAATGTTTGACCACATCATCGTTGGAAAGTCAAGTAATGTCACATAAGGACAGTCAACTGTTGGCCAAAATTATGGATGAATTGCGCCGTCAGGTGGGAGTCAAGTATGATGTCGACGACTGAAAGAATCAATAAAATAAAGAAATTTAATTAAAAATATACTTTTATTTTTAAAAAAAAACTGATAATTTAATTAATTACCGTAATATAGAAAACATATGATAACTCAAAGAAAACTCAAATATTAATAATAAAAAAATATTAATTATAATGAAAAATCTATTGACACTCCGTATCAAACAACGGTCTAAACCAGACATTACAGTGCTTTCGGCGACGCAACTGTCCGTCACTGGACTTGTCTATTGTGATCAACTCTTGTAGCTGTTGTTGTTGTTGTGTCTTATCTCTATCACCACTGATGGCAACAGTCATACGTCCCGAACACTTAAGACGAGCGATCATTTCGTGCGGCAACTCATCAACACTACGACCCAAATGTATGATATCGTATGTGTCCTCACTTTGGTCGGGTAGTGTGTCATCCGAACCGTCATAATATAAAAATTTTATTTTCTCATCGCATTCATTGATTAATTGTGCAAATATGTCGCTCAGATTGTTTTGGGCATAGTTTACAAGCTTTGGACAGTCATCTATGGCTACAATCCGGTAGTCAATGTCGGCCAACTGACACATATATGCCATACATACTGACAAATAGCCGGTCGAGCATCCAATTTCTAGTATGCCTACCGGTGCCGATACTGCTGCTGCTGACGATGATGATGACTGCTGTTTTCTTTGTTGTAAAGTTTCCAACAGTAACTCAAGTATTGTGCCGTAAATTATCGGCGAATTGACATCAATATCGGTGTCGACATTTGGCGGACAAAACAATTGTCTATCGATGGCCAGTAATGTTTGCTCGACTTCTGAACTGTTAACCACTTTGACCTCTTTGAGTGCATCCATCAGTTGTTTGGCTTCTGGTATACAATCGATAGGCATTTCTGGCAGCAATGATATCTGATGTCCAGTGTTTGTATCAATCAATTGGTTTCTCAATTTCAGACATTCATTCATTGTATACAACAGTTTGAGCTGTAATTCACTGATCAATAGTTCGGCTTTTGTGTGATTAATGTTAAGTCTCTTGAGTTCACATTTGAGATAATCGACACAATTGTGAGATTCATCTGAATTTTATTTGAATTAATTAAATAATTAAAAATCATTAATAAGTTACTAATTAGAGTTTGATTTAAGTTATTTTAAATTTTTTATTATTATAAATTAATTAAAAAAAAGTTATTAGCACACAATATATAGAAATTAAAATATTTTATCATAAAATCAAAGAGATTATATAAATTTATAAAACTGTAAATTTAATTTCTATAATATATAAAATATTATGTATATTTTAAACAGTTAAAATTGAAAAAATAAATATAAATGTCTATTGATTTTATTTTAGATATTTTTTATTATTAAAATTTCATACCAAATAAATTAAAAATAATATAAAAATAATTTCATTTAAGTTAATTAAACTGATATTTAAAAATTATTATAATATTATATATTTTTAATTCAGTATTATCATTATCTAAATACAGATATTTATTTATGAAAATAAAATTAAAAATATTTTCATTTAATTTATTTATGTCTAGTTTAATAAGTTAATATTAAATAACAAAAAATAACTTTACCTTTTTTATCGACATAAATACCACATTTACATTTGCGATAATAGGTTTCATTGAAGTGACACCCGTTTTGATGATCACTGTCCTCAACGATAGAAAATATATGATCGCAACCTATCAACCAGTTTTGACATCTAATCATAATTTGTTCATAACTTTCATAGTAGTCATCGCAAACATCGTCCAAACAGTCTAACTCTATGGTAATATCTCTATCGTGAGGACAGTTGTGTTTTGTTGCAATCCAGTCGGTAATACATTGTTCACAGAAAACATGACCACAATTGACAATACCTTTCGGGGAGACAATAATACCGCAACAAATGCCGCATAAAAATTGGTCGTCAATTGTCGTATGTATGGCACGATTGATGTCTAAACCCATAGTTGTTATATTTTTCCGGTGGATATTTTATTTGCAAAATAATAAAAGTTTTTTTTAAAGTTATTTAGTTAATATTTCTGACAATTTGTGTAATCATTAAAAAAATAACATAAAATATAATATTCATTATTTATTATTAAAAAAAACTTTTATGTATTAGACATCTATGACTTAGCATTAAATAAACAGAAAACTATTATTATTTTTGTATTTAATTGTGATTTAATTATACAATAATATTATTTATCAACACATACCTACAGTGTCTACCTGTTATTAGTTAGTTTATAATCAATAAATATATTAAATTTATATATGAGTTTATGTGTATGTATGTATGTATGTATGTGTGTGTGTGTGTGTGTGTGTGTGTGTGTGTGTGTGTGTGTGTGTGTCTGTGTGATAATAAAATATTTTATATATAATAAATTTTACAATATATATAAAAAATGTCATATTATTATTAAATTAGTATATTATTGTTGTTGTTATTGCTCTCATTTACGATAAATTTATTATATTAAATATATTTTTTATCAAAATATTTTTGTTACATTTAAATAACAATACTATAACAACTGTATTACGTTTACAGTAATTTATCTATATAAATACCATTGTTTATATTTTTTATTTTTTTTTTGATAAGATTAATAAAATAAAGTTTTATTAGAAATTATTTTAATAAATTAATATCTATTAATTTATAATAAATAATGAAATTATTTTTTTAAATTATATATTCTTTCTCAATATTGTAAGTTTTTATTAATATTTAAAAGTAAATATATTGATAAAAAAATCTAGTTTATAGACTTATAATTAAATATAGCAATAAATAAACATTATTTTATTAATATAAATATAACAATAACATTGTGTAATGTAAATAATAATTCTTTAGTAAAAATTATTACAAATAAAAATATAATTTAATAATAAATTTGTTGCTATTTTATTATACTATTATACTATTTAAAATATCATATCATATAAATACAAACAAAATCAATTTAATTATACAACATTATTTTTATTATAGCAACAATAAAATTAGTGTTAATTTTATTGCATTATCACGTATTGCAATAAGTACAATTTTTATTTTATTTTTACAAATATTTTTTTGTAATCATATAAATTAGATAATATTTTTTAAAAATTAATACATTTACATTTTGATTAATATATATATATATAATGTGTGTGTGTGTGTGTGTGTGTGTGTGTGTGTGTTTGTGACTAAAAATGTCTAGTTATTGATTTAATTAATTATTTTTGATTATTTAATATCTTAATTGTTTAATTTGTCTGACCGATAAATAATATAAAATAAATTATTGTATTAATAGTTATTTAAAATTAAATATATATAATATATAAAAATGATATATAATATATATATATAGTATATATATATTAGTAACATAATAAATCAGTAATATTACTATTCATAAAAAATATTAATAAATTTTATCACATTTTAAACATATTAGATAACAGTAATATCAAATTATACATAATTTATATACTATGTATTTATGTATTATACAAAATTTCAAAAATCACATTTAAAAATTAGATAATATTATTTAAAAATTAAAAAATATATCTATTATTTTAAAAACATGAGTAATATAATTGCAATGTTCAACCGTGTCAATAACATATGTAAAAGTAAAATACATTTAAAATTACATTAGTTTGATATATTAGTAGAGGAAAAAATTATCGCTAAAATATTTGTTTAATTGTTAATTATATTATTATTATTTCAAACTATTTCAAACTTTAACTTAAAAATACAGGTAAGTCTTAGCGTTTTAATTATTTATTACAAAATATTTGGTTTACATTTAGCTAATATAAAGATAATTAGTTGCTATATATATATATATATAAATGAAATAAACATATACTGTATTTCATAAAATTAATTCCCATGTTATGTACTGTATGTATAATAAGTAACAACAAAAATAATTTAAATAATTAAGATTTTTTTGTCTATTGAAGTCATTATTATTAGCCTTAAAATAATAATATACGGTAATACTGAAAGTTAATTAAACTTTTAATTTAAACAAAAAACCTGTTTTTTATCAAATTTGATTTTTTATTTTTATATATACATTAAATTATTTTGATTTTATATATAATTTTCAAAATTGTTATTTTCAAGTTTACTATAATTATTATCACTATTTTTTTATTATTATCACAGTATTTATAAGTTTGTTATCTTTTAGGAAAAAATTGTTTTTACTATTAAATATTTTTTGGAATATTAATTAAATATAAAAAATAAAAATTAATATCAATATATAAAATCAATGGCCACTCGTTGGGGTATATTAAGTGCCGGCAAAATCAGCCACGATTTTGTATCAGCATTGAGGACATTGCCTACAGATGAACATCAGGTAATAAACTATTAAAAAAAATACTATTATAAATTTAAGAAAACAATTAGCTAATAGTTTTATTAAATAAATGCATAATTAAAAATATAATAATTATATTTTACTTTTATAGTTATATTTTTATACCTTATCTAAAACAGTAGTTTTCAAATAAAAAATGTTTTTTTGCAAAATAATTGTTTTCATTAGTTAGTAGCGGTGGCCGCACGTGATCTGCAATCAGCCCAACAGTTTGCACAACTGCACGGCATTCCGAAAGCGTACGGCACGTACAATGAGTTGGCCAATGATCCAGATGTTCAGGTCGTATACATCGGTACAATACATCCACACCACTTGTCTACCGCCAAGCGTGTGCTGGCCAGAGGTAAACACGTGTTGGTGGAAAAACCGATGACATTGAACTCGAAAGGTACTGATGAGCTGATAGCCAGTGCCCGGCGCTCCGGGTTATTCCTGATGGAGGCTCTGTGGTCCAGGTTTTTACCGTCGTATGAGTTTGTCATGAAAACAATTAGCGACGGTGTTATCGGTGATGTCCAGTATGTTAATGTTACGTTTGGTATGCCTATAGCTGAAGTCGACCGTGTGGCCAAACGTGTGTTGGGAGGCGGAACCATACTAGACATTGGCATCTATGCCATTAATATTATCGAAATGGTCTACAACGGCGAAGCGCCGGAAGAGATTCGGGCAGTCGGCCATCTAAATGCCGACGGTGTTGATGAAAGTGTAGTGGCGGCGCTCAAGTACAGTGGCGGTCGTACAGCCAGTATATCGACCAGTTCGCGGGTCAAACTACCGTGCGAGGCAGTCATTGTCGGTACTAAAGGTGTGCTACGGGTAAGTGATGTCAAACAAAAATATCTAATAATATTTTCTTTCTACTGTACTATATATATATATATACTATTTTTTTAATTTTTAGCTACCGATGCCGTTTTGGTGCGCTGATAGGGTCTACTTGAATAACGTTGCCTACGAGTTCCCATTGCCTGAACCGGCCGAACCGTGCAATTTTTTTAACAGTGCCGGACTCCGGTATGAGGCCATTGAAGTGCGAAAATGTTTGACCACATCATCGCTGGAGAGCCGAGTGATGTCCCATAAGGACAGTCAACTGTTGGCCAAAATTATGGATGAATTGCGCCGTCAGGTGGGAGTCAAGTATGATGTCGACGACTGAGAAGATCAATAAAATTAATTCAAACTTTATATAAACTGATTTTATATAGAAATCATAAAATTATTTATATTAAGTTCAAATAAATAATTAATTAAATATATCTAATTAATATAAAAACTTTTTTTTATTTAAAACTCGAAACTGTAAAACTTATATTAAAAGCAACTATATAAAAATTCATACGATTAAATAGGTAAATAATTAATTAGGAAAAAATCGCATGTTATTTTTATTTTTTCAATATTTTTTAATTTTAAAAAAAACTAAGCCAAAGTGCCAGTACATTTTAAAAATTTTTAAATAAATTTAGCATGCTAAAAAATAATTTTAGCCCACGTAATTTATGCTATACATTGGTATTGTACTGTAACATAAAAATACCGTATTATTACATCAATTTTATGAGTCATATACAGTACGGGTACTGTATATTACTATACGGTTTGTTTATATTTTAGTACAGTATTAATACTGTATGTACAGTATGTATGTGTTTATGCATAAAGTATTGCATTTTATATTATTGATTTAAATTACATACAGTATTATATCACACATACTGTATATATACGTTGTGTATATTTAGTTATCATTTAGTTTTTGGATGAAAAACAAAATAACAACAAAATATTGTTGACTAGTTAACTAAAATAAAAAAAACTAAAAAATTTATTACAGTAATATTTCAGCATACACATATTTATATTTAAACGTCATAAACAATTATTATTACATTTGTGACATATTTGGAAATATTATTTAATAATAATAATAATAATTTTGCTGAATAAAAAATTGATCATGTTCAAATATCATATTGTTTGATGTTGTTATGCGGCGACCCGTAAACTAAACTCACGCCACTCTCTAAGTGTATATTATTTAGTGTACAGTACTGTACTGTATATTATGAATACTATGTAATATACAGTATTATTGTTGTTGTGTTATATAATTTGTGTTATTATTAGCACATATTGAGAGACCCATAATAATAAATTAGCGGTCAATATATCATATTTGGTTTGCCCTGAGATATAGGAGGGGGGCGTAAACTTGTTGTCAGCAAATATTATTATCATCATCAATAATAATAATACAAAATTATCATCTGGGTAATAAGTAATTAATTATAATTAACATTACTATATATATATATATAACAAATTGTATCAATGTCTATATATGTAATTTTAGTATTATTATTAAAGCCATAAAATGTAACATGCTACATATATAATAATAATAATAATAATAATAATAATGATTGGCACATCGTAAAAAAATATATTCAATATATTTTATCATTGACAATTTATTTATTTTTTTGCAAATAAAAAATGTAAATTTTTTTTTATTTAATGTGTTATTTGGTTTTTTGCTGAGATCTCATATTTAATAATAATAATAATAATAGTAATAATAAATTAATAATATTATTAGTATAGACAACTATATATTGTGTCTCAAATTACAGCAAAATATATATATATATAATATTTATTACAAGTCATATTATTTGCTTATTATTAATAGTATTCATTGCATTACTACTACTACTAATAATAATACTAATATTGTGAAAATATTGTATATCATTAATAATAATATATATATCATATTCAGTCAAAAATAATAATAATATATATCATATTTTTTAACAACTTAACTAAATTACAAATTGTAAAAAAATTAGTCATTTTTTGTTATTGTCAAATAATTATATTTTAATTGTGTTTTTAATTATTTTAGTTAAACTTAATTATAATTGTTATTAATCTGCGAATATTCTGTGATATATATTATATATAAATAATATCTCAAAAAAAAATATTCTATACTATAGTCTATAGTATAGTTTATAATATAATAATTATTTAATATATTATTATTAATAATAATAATACTTTATATAATAATATATTGTAACGGATTATTAACGGGAATCACCCGCATCTCCACACACACACATACAAAAAACTACATACAAGCGCATCAAACAAACAATTGTCAAAAAAAATGTCAAATATAACACATTGGAGGAAACCTATACACCTGATGGTGAATCTGCTAGTATTGGTGACAGTAGTATTGCCATCAATTGTGTCGGCCTATGCATTGTTGGACATCAGACAGGATGAAAAAGCTAAACGACTGCATCGGTTGGACTCACTAAACATATTGGTCTATACACTGTTACTCATATTGACGGTGTGTACCATTTGGCTGTTCAAGCACCGGCGGGTACAGTTCCTGCACGAAACAGGACTGGCCATTATCTACGGACTGATTGTCGGTGCCATTATTAGATACGTTGGTCAGGACAGTGAGGTCACTCATTTCAGGTATGGGCGCTATTTATTATATATGAGATTATCTATCAAATTATCCTATAGATTGTATATACGAGTTATAATTATTATAAAAAGTTTATTTTTTAAAGATATCTGTATTAATATACTGTAAATTAATATTTCAATAATAAATATATTATTATTATAATATTTAAAAATAAAATTAATAGGATTTAAAAGAAAATAAAAATTATTTTTTGGTATAAGTTATAATAACATTCAATAATAATAAAATACTCAATTAAAATTTTTAATCTATATTAATTAACTAATTAAATTATATTGTTTTTTATTTTTAAAAAAATAGTTTTACAATTTTAAAATATCTAATTCTCTTATTATGAATAATTATTTTTCATTAATATTTATTAAATATCTATTTTTAAACATTATTATCAGTAATATTATGAACTATTATTTGTTTCAAAAAAAACAAAACAGTGTTATACCGGAATCAATGGCAAACAACTGTTCAAACGGTACAACAGCTTACCCACCGTCCAGTAGTAGTACAGCCTTTCCTATGCCACCCGACGCCCTGTGGATCAAATTGAATATACCAGTTGCCGACCACAACAACAACAATAACAACCCGCACGACGGCAACGACAATACCACTGTTAGGCCGATTGTCGAGACTGTTAAGCGCACGTATGCCTACCTATTTAAAGGCGAACTAAGCGGTTCATCTGATAAGACCAAATCGGATAGCAAACAGATGTCCGATAAGGCGACCTTTGACCCGGAAATCTTTTTCAACATAATATTGCCGCCGATTATCTTCAATGCCGGCTATTCGCTGAAACGGCGTTTCTTTTTCCGCAATCTCGGTATATAATTAATATAATATTATTTCACTCAAATTAATATAATAATAATAATATTTTTAATTTTATTTCTGATCAATTAACCTACAGGTGCTATCATGACCTATGCATTTATAGGTACAACCATATCGTGTTTTGTTGTCGGATCCATAATGAAACTACTGGTAGTCATAATGTCTGAGACATTCAAAGAGTTTTCGTTCAACGATTGTCTATACTTTGGTGCCATCATATCGGCTACCGATCCGGTAACAGTGTTGGCCATATTCAATGATTTGCATGTAGACGTTACAGTCTATGCACTAGTATTTGGCGAATCCATACTCAACGATGCCATTGCCATAACACTGGCCGGCAGTATCGACTCGTTTGACAAACACTATGATTTTGGTTTTTTTACGGCCGTTTGCCGGGCTTTTGGTAACTTTATCTACATATTTGTACTGTCATTCATCCAGGGATCCAGTATTGGCTGTCTGACAGCACTGGTCACCAAATATACCAAATTATGTGATTTTCCGCTATTAGAGAGTACACTGTTTGTATTGATGTCGTACTCGACATTTCTGATGGCCGAAGCACTGGAACTTTCAGGTAATTTCAAAATTATTTTTTTTTATCGAAATATAATCTAAACTTTTGTTATTTGATTTACTGGTAATTTTTTTATACTGAATTATACTAGAGATAAAAATTATTATCTTAATTACAATTTTAATATTTTATTACTAAAATTTTGTTAATTAATTTTTTAATAATTAATTAACAAAATTATACATATTAATTACTGATAATTTAGACTGATTAAAATACTATAATATTAAAATAATATGAAACATAGTGTTAAAATACTAGTTAATAAATAAAAGGTTTACAATATAATATTTTTTTTAAAAAATAATTAGTTGAAAGCTGTAAACTGTTTTTTAAAATAATAAATAATATTTTTATATTAAAAGTAATTTATGTCTATAGAAATATCTTACAATATCTTATTAGAAATGGATTATGATTTACTTTATTGATCTTTTTTAATGTAAAATTAATTAATATACTGTATATATATATATATATACAATGTATATAATCTGTATAAATTTATATGAAAAAATAATATTATTTTGTCCATAATAATAATAATAATTTATTTTATCTATTATTATACAGGCATAGTGTCGGTATTGTTTTGTGGTATATGTCAGGCACACTATACGTACAATAATTTGTCGGACGAGTCGCGAATGCGGACCAAATCGTTGTTTTCTTTGTGTAATTTTATTGCCGAAAATTTCATTTTCACTTATATCGGTGTTTCGATGTTTACATTTCCCCGACACTACTGGTCGTTCTCATTCATTGTGATAGCCTTTATAGCCATAGCCGTCGGCCGTGCATTGAATGTCTATCCCCTTTCGTTTGTATTGAATTTGGGTCGTAATAACAAAATCCCGCTTCACTTCCAACACGTGCTGTTTTTTTCGGGACTCAGAGGTCAGTCCAATATTTTAATTTTATATTTAATTAGTATTTAAATTTAAATTTTACAAAAACAAAATGTATTATATTTTTTTGCATAATTTTAGTTAAACTAATATAAATTGTTTTGAACAAAAAAATATACCCTAAATATGATACAATTACATTTGTATTAATTTGAAAAAATATTTGTTTAATATTAATTTTTTTATATACTCTACTACCTGTGACCTACAGGTGCCATGGCTTTTGCATTGGCCATAAGGAACACCCTAACAGAGCCTAGAAGGCTGATGCTGACCAGTACTTCGCTCATATCGATTGTAACAGTGATTGTTTGCGGCGGCTGTACGCCGGCTCTATTGCAACAGCTTCGGGTGCCGACCGGTGTTGAGGAGGCCGACCACGAAATGCTACAGTTTAGCGGTGTGCGCCGGTCGGCATCGGCTCAGACACCACAAGATCTGCGATCGCCCGGTCTGGCCACTGATGTACCGACAAGGAGTGCCTACGAAAAGGCCTGGTTAGTCAGGAAATGGTATAACTTTGACGTCAGGTTTATGAAACCTTTGTTAACTCATTCGCGACCGTCGCTGATGGACACAATGCCCGACTGTTGTCTGCCATTGGCTCGCATACTGACCACTACTCAGCAGATGACTGCCGATGACTATCATCGGAACGTAAGTTTGAAAAATTAATTTTTAAAAATTAAAATAAAATAACATCACTTATTATTATTATCTAAAATAAACCATTAGTTAAGTTAATATTATAAAAATTATTATTTTAAGAAATACTTTACAGTTATTTTTAAGTTTTATTACTAATGAATATTTTTCAAAATATTAGTTTATTATACAATATTTTTATTGTTTAATATATTGTATATTAATAAACTGTTTATTTTAATATTATAGAAAAAATATATTAAATTTATAATTATATTAAAATATATTATTTTCTGTTTTAATTTATTAAAATTTTGACTTATTTATACAAATTTTCTATATTTAATAGAAACTGAAAATAATGATTATTTAAATTTTTATTTTATCAATTTATAGCCCAATAATGATAGCGATGACGATCTTGTACTTCACGGATCGGGTCAACAACAGGGGTCACAAGGGTTTATGAGAAACAATTCAACTGAATACCAGTCAACCGATTACTTGCGGAGCACTAATACTATGACTACCGGTGCCTACATAACCAATTCGATCAATTTGAACAACGATGTGGTCAGACCTACTACACTGGTCGACATACATAACAATGGTGTCAATAATAATAAACCGCTCGGCAATGACACACAACACAGGGATCAGGATGTATACCATAATCATCAACAGCAACAACAACAACAACATCAACAACAAAGGGTTCGTCAACTGGTTTTACCACTCGATAACAATGATATACAACCGTCACATCATTTGGACTCATCTTTTATTTGAATTTTTATTTATTGAATAATTTTATTATTATTTTTTTGTTACTTTAGTTGCATTTTTTATGGAAAAAATTATTTAAAATCGTTATCAATATTTTTATTTGCAATTTTAATTTAAACAATTTAGATATAATTATTTTATTAAATTGCACATCCACACACACACACTTTAAGTATCATGTTATGTTGACACCCACCTAATTTTACCACCGATTGAATTAATTAATTTCGACCCCCATTTTTGACCCACAAATTAATTAAAATTAATCTATAATTATTTAATAATGTTTTTTTTTTAAATTGACATATAATTAGACTCTAATTATTAGAGATTGTTATGTTTAATATTATTATTATTATTTGTAATTTAATTTGAAATTGAATTGTTTTATAATTATTATTGATATTAATTTATCAAATTATTGAATGAGCTATGCGTTGATAATTTATTATTTAAACAAAATAATTTTAATTAATGAAACTGTGATCATGATATTAATTATTTAATATAATAATTATTTTTACTATTTTTAAATTATTATTTTGGATTATTTACATATTATTTATATAATATACGAATTATTAATATAAATCATAATATATTGTAAATTATTTTTTAATATAAATATATCATTTGATTAAAAAAAATGTTATTGATTTTTATTTTGCTTATAATTGCTTGTTAATCAACAACAACAAAAAATTATATTTTTGATTTTATTACAATGAATTCAATTAATTATTATTAATTTATTTTTAATATACACAGACTCGTGGTCCCAATGATCGGGATTTAGGACTGGCATTAAATGCAACAAATTTAATGTTAATGGCTATTAAATTACCTGATAGTAAAAGGTACTATTATTTTATTATTTATATTTAAATTTAATTTTTTTTAAATTTCTAATTATTTTAGCAAGTGAATGAAATAAAAAGTATTAACAACTTTGACTACAAATAATTGTTATATTTCTAATGTTATTATTTAAAAATTAATTAAAATTAAAACTAGTGAACAACTTGTGATTAAAATATATGTGTATAAAACTAATAGTTTGTAAAAGTTGATTAAAATTCATTATAATGAAAAATAATAATATCCAATATTATTATTAAATATAATAATTATTGTTGTATTTGTAATTTATTGTTAATTATAAATAAAATTCAATTTCAAGCATTAATTAAGTTAACTTAATTTATTGCAACTATTTTATCAATACTCTATATATTTAATTTAAATAAATGATTATAATATTTTTTTTTTTAAAAAGTGTTTATAAAATTTCACAGATAAATAGACTGAAATCAATTTTTAGTTTATATGCAATTTTATACTTAAATTTATTTGAATTTTTCTGAACTTAAAAATTGCACTTGGTCACATTGAAAATAAGATCTCATATATTTTAATTGTAAAATACTATATAGTATTTATACAGTATATACAATACACATAAACATAATATTTTTGATACACAAAAAAATAAAGTAATAAGAAAAAAATTATAATCCTAAATATCTTAGAACTTTATATAGAAATAATAATTTTTTGTGAAAATTTAAAAATCGGAAATTAATGGTTTCGGACATTTAGTTTACACTTAATTATAATCTATAATATAATAATAAAATTAACATCATCTTTTACTTCAACTATAATTTATAGTATATCATTTAAACATTCAATTTTTACTTTTTTTAAATTTTAAAAATAGAAATATATTGTATACTTATCAAAATACTAGCAATTATATATATACTAGTAATTTATATACTGTATATTTAATAATTTGTTTAATAAATGCGATATTTTTTATTATGCTGAATCTACAATAATTTATCTATTTGTAATAAATTTTTTTATTAAAAATAAAACATTAATATATATTTTTAGAATGTTTGTAAAATTTATAGATAAATATACCGAGTTCAAATTTAATGTTTATATTAAATATATTGTACTCAATGCACCTTTAAAAATGCACTTGGGCACATAAAAACACATTAGATATCGTAAATTTTATTGCAAAACACTGTATATATACAGTATATATATATATATATAGTGTATTCACGTGAACATCATATTTTTGATACACAAATAAAATAAAATTTCAAGTAATTAACAAACAAATTATAATCTTAAATATCTTATGATTTTATTATACAGATTATATTTAATGATAAGCTATTTTTTTAGTGCAATTTTGGTTATAAATGATATAAATACCACACCTCCAGACACTGGGAAATAATAAGTTACAATTTATGATTTACTGATAACTTATTGAAAGAAAAATTATATAATTTACTAATAATTTATAATAACTTATAACCCGATATAATGAAACAAAAATTGCGTATATTATTTGTGCCGATTGACGCCACTGGCCACGTAAACTCGGCCATCGGTATGGCACAGGTGCTGATGGCCGCCGGACACGAGATCACGTTTGGCATCAGTGATCAGTGGACCGGTAAACTTGAACCGTACGGTATTCGCGAAATAGTTTGGACATTGAAAGGTCGCGAAGATGCCGGCAATAATGCGGCCAAATATTATGCACAGGATCTCAAACGAAAAGGTATTTTAGGACCCGACGGCACACCGTTGGACAAAGCAGTCATTATGTTTAAAGATAACGGCAATGAAATGTTTGAGGCCTGTCGTGATGTTGATGAACACTTGGCCAAAGCGATTGACACCATTCAACCCGATATCATTGTATGCGATCAAATAATTTCGTTGACATCGATTACCCGATCGGGAATTCCGTGGGTATTGGTATGCAGTTGTAATCCGTTAACAATAATGCACGACAATAGGACACCGCCACCATTTTCAGGCAAGTTTTTTCTAAACTACTAAAAACAATTATATTATATGATTTTAATTTTAATTTAATTTTTAATATCTATTAACTTTTTTTTGATAATATCAAAATAATTTAGCTTAAAAATATCTAATTAGTTTATTACAGTATTATTGTTAGTTTCTAATTATTAGTAGTTATTACTGCTTTATTTTTAGTAATGAAAAAATTATAATATATTTTTAATTTTTAGGTTTACCGACAACCGGTCCATACAGTGAATGGCAATCATATAGAGAAGCATACATTGAAGGTATTCATAATACATGGAAACAAATTAACGACTACGAGTTGGCCACTGGTCTACCACCGTTACCGGCAATGTCGCTAATCAATGAATCGAAATATCTTAATATATATGGCTATCCCGAGGAACTGGACTATCTGGACATTAGACCGCTGCCCGAAAATTGGTATCGTTTTGATAATCTGATGCGTAAAGAAAAGCACCGACCGTTTGAACTGCCGAAACAATTGTCGACTAAACCGGGAAAACTGATATTTTTTTCATTGGGATCTATGGGTGCAGTAGATGTGGAAAACATGAAACGATTGGTCAATATATTAGGAAAATCTCGAAACCGATTTATTGTGTCAAAGGGGCCGTTAGGTGATGAGTACGATCTGCCGGACAACATGTGGGGTCAGTCATCGGTACCTCAGATACAAGTCTTGCCATTAGTTGATTTGGTTATAAATCACGGCGGAAACAATACACTAAACGAAACCATATACTTTGGAAAGCCTATGATAGTTATGCCACTGTTTGCCGATCAGTACGATAACGCACAGAGAGTCCATGAAAAAGGTTTCGGTATACGACTTGATGCCTACAAGTGCTCCGAAAAGATATTATTATCAGCTATTGATAAGCTTTTGAATGACAATGAATTGCGTGAAAAAATGCAGAAAATTTCTCAAAGAATACAATCGGATAATAGTTTGAAAAAATTACCGCAACTTTTAGAAAAATTAGTTCATAAATATAAACATCAAAACAATAATAAATCTATTGAAGAGTTGACTAATAAATTAGTTATACATAAGATAATTGATGAAAACAATAACAACAACAACAATGTTAATTCAATTTAATAAAAAATTCAAAATAAAATACAGATTATACAGTTATAAAATTGTTTGTAAAAATATATTTATTAATAATAAATTTATTGATTAGATATTATTATGGGTAGTGTTGCCAGACGTCCTCCATTTCGGAGAAAAATGTCGTCCGATTTGTGTTGAATGACACAGTTTTCCGGTGACTAATCTCCTGAAATGCATTTGTCGTTCACTTTTTTTTATATTTTTATAATAGTAATTATAAATATAATAAATTTCTATATATTTATATATAATAAGATTTTAAAAAATAACAGAATGTATAATTTTTTTATTAAAAAAACATTAATGTATTATTTAGATTATTAATAAATATTATATCAATAGTATTAGTAGATTTTTAAAGAAACTAACTTTTTATAAGATTATTTTTTTTAATAAGTTATTTGAAATGAACTAATGTTAAGGTTATTTAAAACTATTTAAAATGATATATTAATAAAATTATGAAATATATATATATATAACAATAATTTTAACTAAAATTGAAACTGTCCTCCAATTGTCATCTGTTTTTTCAAATGTCGTCTATCATCAAAATTATATCTATCAATCCTAATCCTAATTATGAAATGGATTATAAAAATATTTTTAATGTATTAAAATAACTTTAACTTTATTTTATCATAGATTTGAGGTTTCGGTTACGGTTTCATCCGGTTTCTGAGTTTTGGTTTTTGAGTTGCGTTTTCGGTTCGGTTTTTGTCGTTCAGTCCTTTTAGGTTTAGGTTTCGGTTTCGGAGTTGTTATGCTTTTGGTTCGCTTCTTGTTGTCGTTTAGTACCGATTTTCGGTTCCGTTTTGGTTTCAGAGGTTTTTGTCTATCGGTTTTAATTTTCTTGCGGTTATTATTATTATTATCATCTTTATTATCTATGTTTTCATCTCTATCAGTTAAAAAGTATTATCATATATTAATAAATATTAAAAAATAATAATAAATAATAATAAATTTACATTTGATAATTAATTAAATATTTTTTTTCCAAACAAAAAAAATCTTACTGTTGTTTAGTTAGATTTTTATTATCATTTTCAAAATTATCGTCACTGTCTATGAAAGATCCGGGTAATTGTTTACATTTGCATTCACTATCGACGCACAGAGCCTTCATATCAGGTTCACTACCACAGTGTTTGACACAGGGATGACCAGCTGGTAATGGATGTAATTCAGATGGACAACCATGAGTGCCAGTAGTTTTATTTTCTTAATTCAATATATTTGCATTAGTTATATAAATATATATTATGAATAAATATGTTTTAACATTTTTATATAAATTTATATATATATATATAATACAATACATACCTACTTTTGCAATTGACAATTCAGATAATAAAATTAATGTAGATAAAAACAATTTCTTTAACATATTTTTTTACCTTGTAGCAATTTTTTAGTGAGTTAGTAATAATTTCAATGTAATTCAAAATTTATTATTTATTATTGTTTGTTTTCTATTTGTAAATATTGGCTATTTATTTACTTTATAAAACATTTTAATAAAATAATTTTAAAATTCTAAACAGTTAATTATTTTTAATTATTGAACATATGGTTAACTAATTAGTATTTTAATTAGTAATTAGTATATAAGTAATTTTATTTCAGAAACTATCATTCATAAAATAAGCCAAATAAAATATAAGTAACAAAATTATTTAACTTTATTTTTTTATAATTTATTATGAAAAATATTTTTTAAAAATATTTTTGTATTAATTATTTTATTTTAATATAAAAAGTTAATAAAAACATACATATTTAAAACATTTTTACAACATTTCAAAATTATTACAACAATAATGTTATTTAATAAAATATATTATATTTTATGTTGCTATATCTTACCATGGTAACATAAATAATTATATAGTAATTTACTATACAGATATATTTCATGTTAGTATTGTAATAAATAATTTAACATACTTTACAAAATTGCTAACTATTAATATTAACATTTTATTATTAACAGTTACAAAATATACTTTTTTAAATAAAACTATTTATTATTATTAATAATTTTTAATTAATATTAACATATAATTTATATCAATTAAAAAATAATGTGTGATAACTATGATAGACAATCGTTTGATCGTTTTGGTGATGATTTATGTGAATTATTGCTCAGTTATCTAACTATTGACTTGTCATACAAATATCAATGTGTTTGTCATCAATGGCAACGACTTATATTTAAACATCAGACTAATTTGGAAATTATTTTTGACAAAAATTTTATTGAAATAAATTATTTAATTAAATTAAATATCAATGATGATGACCATGATGATGATGTTATATTAAAATTAAATTATTTATTCAAAAAATTGCTATTAAATAATATTACAAGCATTATAATATCATTTTATTCTAGTAAAATAAGTCACTTATTATACATTGATATAATAATTAGTAATTTTTTAAATAATTTAACTAAATTTACAATCTATAGACTAGATTATGATTGTGATCAAGTAATAATTAGTAAAATAAATTTACTATTATCAAGTTTATTGAAAAATAACCTAGTCAAACTTGACCTGGATCAATCACCTAGTGAACAATTGGATTTGGTTGGTATATTTACTAATCAACCTAGATTAAAACAATTATCATATTATGATATCAATGAAAGTCATATGCCATTAGTTGGCACATTATATCAATTTAGTTTGAAGTCACTTAAACTTGATTTGAAATGTTTGAACTACATGTGCGATGAAGTAGTTATTGATAATATGTTCAATGGTTTGTCACAATTATCACAACTATCACATTTGGATCTATGGTTTCGGTCGTTTGATGACAACCTGACCGATGCTGTCTACCGGGGAATGCAGTCTATTGGCCAACATTGCAATAAACTACAGTCCCTTATCATTAATCACTATCAGTATGAGTTGTCCCAAACCTTATCAATAATTAACACAAGTTTTTGCCGTCAATTAAAACGATTAAAAATTCAACGATTTTATGTTATCGATGAAAACGATATACCAATTAATAGCCTAAATAAATGTTCAATACTAACACATTTGCTAATTGAACCATGGTCATCGTGGGATGCATCAATTACCATTGATGATGATGATGCTAATAATATTGATAAAATATTACCCAGTATAAAATATTTGAATATTACAAATGCTCGTATAATTAGTAATAATGATAGTATGAAATCAAAATTTGAAAATATTAAAAACTTAAACTATGTTAAACTATGTGGTGAAATAATTATCAATAAATTAATTAAAAAATAATATACTATTTTATAAAATGAATTGTAAATCAATTGATGATTTTTGTTGTTAATAATACTGTATTTGTTTTCTGATTATTTAATTATTCAGTGTTTAGCAATTAGTTACCTTTTATTGTAAATAAATAGAGTATATTTAATATTAAAGAAAAAAATACAATAAAAATTTGTGTCTTATTAATATATTAATAATAAATTCAAAAAATAATTTATTAATTTTATTAGTTAGCTAATAAATAAAATATTATATATTATATTAATAGATGTACAATAGTTTCAATAGATGTAAGCAATAGTGTAAATTCTTACAGTATATTTAGTAATATTATTTACATTATTGCCAAGGTCATAAATACTAAATGCAATACAATGTATTGCGTAAATTATTATTATTATTTATATATCTTTACAATGTATATAAAATATTATGTTTATAATGGGTGTATAGTATACTGTAGTGTAATTATTAGCTAAAACGTTGATATAACTATTTTATTGGTATTAAATAGTCAATTAATAATATTTTAAAATTTGTAAATTTTTTTAAAGTAAAAATGTGTGACAATTATAATAGGGATTCATTTGATAGATTTGGTGACGACTTATGCGATGTATTGTTAAGTTATTTGACAATTAAAGAGCGATTCCGATGTGAATGTGTTTGCAAACAATGGCAACAATTGATATATCAATCGCAAGTAGATCTCATTGTTTTTGATGAACTCATCTATTTATTAACAATTGATAAAACAAATCATATAATCAATACACAAGTGTTTGATATGATTTTGAAAAAGTGTCCAAATATTACTAAACTAGAGTTTGGATACTTTGGTCTAACAGATATTACAATGCAATCAATTATCAATTTATGTAATCATTTAACTGAAATATACTTTGATAACGATTCCTATGATTTAAGCAATGAAATGGTTGTCAAGTTTTTTGATCGTTTTGGACAACAATTAAAACATATTATATTTTTTGTCAAAGAAGACACTAATGCCGATCTAATCTATAGTAATGTAAAAAAATGTATAAACTTGGAAACTGTTGATACCTATGACAGAACAGTTGGCACCAGTAGTCGAAGTTTAAGTCAACTGTTCAAACCATTAACCACTGGACCAGATATTAATTATACAAAAATCAAGGAACTGGTGATAAACTATACGATTGATGATTCCGATAGATTTGAATTGATTGCCAAATATTTTGCCAAACAATTGAAATCATTATATGTTATTATCGATGATACTTGCAATCAGTACTCTATAAAAACATTATTTAAAAATATTGGAAAAATTCAAACATTGATTACATTGAAAATCAATGTCTATTCACAGAATCCGGAATTTTGTCACTATTTGTTAGGATTAATGCCCAGTAGTTTACAATTAGTTGGACGCAAATGTAAACGTTTAAAATATCTAGAATTGTTTATTACTAACGATAAAACTTTTAGAAAATTTCCAGAAATATTTAGTGTAATAAATAAATATTTTGCTAACCGATTGAAAAAACTAATTATTTATGCAAATATTATGGAAATTTATGTACTATTAGGCGATATACTAAATAATTGCAAACAATTAACACATTTAATCGTTGATTACGAACCGCAACACGATGTCTATTTGGATATGTTTAGCGATAAAATTACCAGAAACTTTCCACGACTTAAATACTTGAAGTTGTCGGGCATTTACTTAACTAATACACACCTAAAGGAGTTGTCAACATTAAAATCATTGCAATATTTAGAATTTCCTGAATGTCTAAATAAATGCAATACTGAATCAATTGAAACTTTTAGCAAAATTATTACATTTGTAATCAATTACAGGTTTTATATATAATATATTATAACTGTTTATAAATAATTTAAATTATAATTTTATTAGAGAAATATTTAAATAGCTGTAAACTTATTAAAATTAAAATTTTAATAAATGATAATTTATAATTTAACTGAAAATTTAATTGTAATTTATTTAATGTTAATAAATTAAAATAGTTTGTATAATTGAATATTTTTATTTCTTAATATTATCTATTGACTCTATTAAAACTAAAATGGTTATTAAATAGTAAATAACTATAAATAACATTTTGTTTTTTTAAAACTTAATTTCCACATAATTACTTATTAAAATTATTATTATTATTGTCTTTTTAAGTTTTAGCCGATACTATATTTATGATATAACTTGATTGTATTAATAGCTGATATTTTAATTGATTATTATATATATATGAAAATCTAAATGAATATTACAAATAACTATAACTATTATAGTTATTTATATGAGAGCTATAAATAAAAAATTATTATTATTATTATTACAAATATGATATACAGTTAAGTTAGACAATCAGATCTAAATTATTAAATTTTCTATTGACAAACCAGTCTATACCCCCCATACCCTTCCCCATATTGTTTGGGCAAAAACTAGAGGGGAAAAATAGTTATATTAGATACTTAACAAATTAAATAAATTATAATTTATTTAAATACAATATGTTAAATTAATTATTTTATGTTAATAAATGTACCTATTTTAAATGTTACTTGGTTATTAAATTGATTTTAGTTTGTTTTTTTTGTAAACAATAGATATAATAGATAATATGTAAATTTATGGGGGGGGCTTGTTTAAGGGATGACACACTATACTACATTAGATGAAAATGTGATACATTAGTATTTATGTTTAATTATACTTAAACTTACAATAAACATCAAAATAATTAATAATTATATTAATGTTTGCCATTGTTACATAACCTAACTAATCCTAATATAAGAAAATATTTCATACATAGTTTTAATTATATCTATTTTTTTTAACTAC